AATTATATACAGTATATATCAATAAAAATGTTGCGTGCGTGCGTGCGTGCGTGCGTACGTACGTACGTACGTACGTACGTATGTATGTATGTATGTTAAAATGCCCTGGCCAGCCAATCTAGACAAGTGGTGGATTCCATTCTGCCTGAATAATTCTAAGAGTTGTTTTAAAAAGTAACTTTCCCAATACTTGGCTGTACATTTTCCCCTATCAGGTATGAGTATGTGAATAAGATTTGTAACTAATATAAATGAGAGCCACACACATTTCAGTATGAGTTGAATACTGTATAGATATATTTCTCTTATGAGATGGCCCGCCTTTCTCCCCAGCTTCTGTAAGTGAGGAAAGTGAGCCTGGTGTGAAAGCAACAGGAGGACACTAGCACGTGAGAAAGTAATGAATGAATGAATTAGGCAAAAAATTAGGTGTTCTAGTCTTGAAGAGAGATCCAGGGTGGTCAAATGGAGCAGTATCGGATTAGGAGTTAGCAGACCCTGGTTCGAATCCCTGCTTGGTCATGGAAATTTGAGAGAGAGGGGAGGGGAGCAAGCAACATACCACTCCTTGAACATCTTCCATACCCCCAAAACTTTATTAAAGGTAAAGGTTCCCCTTGACATTTAGTCCACTTGTGTCTGACTTTAGGGCATGGTGCTCATTCCCGTCTTCAAGCCGTAGAGCCAGCGTTTGTCTGTAGACAGTTTCCTATGGTCACATGGCCAGCGCGACTAGACAGAACGCCGTTACCTTCCCGCCGAGGTGGTCCCTATTTATCGACTCGCATTTTTACATGCTTTCGAACAGCTGGGTTGGCAGGAGCTGGGACGAGCAATGTGAGCTCCCTGTGTCGCGTGGATTTGATCTTACCACCGCCGGCTTTATTACGTTGCCATAATTCAGAAGCATCCTGCTGGCATTTTAAGAAAAAAACAAGTCCTGAAGGCCAATCATAAAACAGGGTATCCAAATTTGTACATTTTGTGTGGTGAGAAAAGCTTCTCTTGTGAAGAAAGCTTCTTTGCCATTAATAAATACAGTACTGATGGCAAACGAGAGAGAAAGATATTTCATGAGAATATCACAGGAATATTCTGTACTTTGGTAAAATTAGAATATGATACTCCTTCACGGAAGAAAAATTTAGGAAAAAATAAATCTTGGACTACTGCTTCAGCCACTTGGAGCGGTGGCTCATCAGTAAAATGAGGCATATCTCCCCTCCAAAACCATCCAGACTCACAGCATTGAAACTAAAAATGACATTTGGTTTTGCTTTTTTGTAATTCTTGCACATTTTCCCATTTTTTGGAGCCCCTGCAGTGGAAGTAAACCCTCTGAGCTTGGATATCTCCAGTTTATAGATTGATTGAAGCAGAAAATTAGAGGACAGCCATTCATGGGAAAACTGAACCACCATTGGTCAGATCCGCTTTGAATTGGATTCCTGCCTTGAGCAGGGGGTTGGACTGGATGGTCTTATGGGGTCCCTTCCAACTTCACTTTTCTATGATTCTGGACAGTGGTAGATACTGGTGTGTCTCCATTCCATCCGAGTTCTAGTGAGTGTTATTGACTGCAGCTGGAACATCAACAGTGAAGCAACTTCATGAACTTTTCTTGGCTCCATTTACTGTAGGATTAGTTGGAGGATGTAAATTTCATTTGCTCAGAGACCCTTCAAGGGTTGCCTTGCGTATTCTGTTGACTTATCCCTTTAGCTGTCAAGACAACTGTGGTCCGCCCGGAGGTTACAGGAGCTACATCAAGAGCCATGCAAATTGTTTCTATAGCAACAGGCTCTCTTATCTTGGATGCAAAACATCAGAATCACTTCTCTTCCCCTCGTATCTGGATTTATCTCTTCCCTTTCTTTCTCCCTTGTCATGTTCCCTGCCTTGGCCAAATGTCACTTCCGTTGCTTGCCGGTTTTGCTCGTTCCACACCCCTTGGTGCTCCAGACAGTTTGTGCTCAAATATTGATGTGCCGTCAAAGTTAATTCAGAGTTATGGTGACCCTCTCTAAGTTCCTCCTGGAGGCAGACTGGGACCGTGTGGGACTGGCCAGAATTGCACAGCTGGCAGGACACTTCACTCCATCAGCCACACGAGGTCTGGGTGGTCTCAGCTGGCCCTTCCTTGGGAGACACAGTGGGGATTGGTACTCTACAGCCCCTGACTTCACTGGCAAGTGCTTCAACCCGTCTTCCTTTCTTTGTTTGGGCCAGAAGCACCCTAAGACAATGGTTTTTGTTGTTGTTTAGTCACTAATCATGTCCATGTCTGGGTCAGAAGCACCCTAGGACAATGTTTTTTGTTGTTGTTTAGTCGTTAAGTCATGTCCGACTCTTCGTGACCCCATGGACCAGAGCACGGCAGGCCCTCCTGTCTTCCACTGCCTCCCGGAGTTGGGTCAACGTCATGTTGGTCGCTTCGGTGACTCCCTCCAACCATCTCATCCTCTGTCATCCCCTTCTCTTGTCCTCACACTTTCCCAACATCAGTGCCTTTTCCAGGGAGTCTTCTCTTCTCATGAGTTTTTGGTACTAAGTCCCAAGTCTGATTTCCTGTTAAAAATAACCACCACCACCCCGAAAAAGGCGAGGGTTGGGTTGGGTTCCAAGTTCCACGTTCAGTCTGAGTCATTGGGGGGAAAAACTGAGTTGAGTCGAGTCAAGTCACCAGCTGAAGTCCAGTTTGACTCTTGTGTAGCCACGACTCAAGTTCCCATCCCTGCTGGGGCACACGTCCCAGTTAATTTGATAGGGCTAAACTGCAATGTTAAATACCTCATATTTGATTTTGGTAGGATTTCATGATGGGGAGCCACAAGAACTTCCAAGTCGTTTCAGACTACAGTATCCATCAGCTCTTTCTTTCTCGTTGCTGGCTTGGACTGATGGGAGCGAAAGTCCAGTGAGAGAGCTGAATGTTTCTGTTCCGACATTAAAGCCCTTGATTTTCACTAGAACGTTGTTTTCCTTTCTTGATCCTGTAAACACTGATTACAGAAGAGTTCTTTGAACATTTTTTTAAAAAACGCATGAGACTTCTGGTTGGGGAATTCTGAGAATTGTAGACCAGTCCAAGCAGAGATGTAGCTAACCTCAGAGCCTGGGCAGAAGTCAGCCCTGGCTGCTGGCCATTTAGGTCCGGGGACCACGTTTTGACAGGGGGGTGGGGAAGTGGAATGTGAAAGAGTGTGACCAAGGGATGGAGTTAATGGTAGACTCATCGAATGATTGAGTTGGAAGGGGCCTATCAGGGATGTGGTGGCGCTGCGGGTTAAACCACAGAAGCCTCTGTGCTGCAAGGTCAGAAGAACAGCCGTTGTAAGATCGAATCCACGCGATGGAGTGAGCCCCCCGTCGCTCGTCCCAGCTCCTGCCAACCTAGCAGTTCGAAAACATGTAAAAATGCAATTTGATAAATAGGGACCATCTCGGTGGGAAGGTCACAGCGTTCCATGTCTGGTTG